TTTTTAACCAAGCCTCATATACATAGCAATGATAAGTAAAAGTACCAGACTGGTGGAACTAACCTTATTGGATGCTTAACAGCCATATTTTGAAGCCTATAGTAATCTGGTCAGAGGGACTTAAAGGACATTTTTTGCCCCTTGCCCTCCAAGGTTGACTAAGGTCCAGAGGACTATGAGCTTCTCTCAAAATGTCCTGTAATTGTAGTGGGTCACCTGTCCTCTTGATCAAGGAGGCCGAGGAGACCCCACAAGATGGATTTCAACCAGTGTCCAGTCTACAAAGAAGAGGGTCAACACAGAGGAAACATTTCCTCCATGTTTCCAAGCAAAGCCAGCCACAGTAGAGTAGGACCTTTGACTTTTCTTCACTTAGGCGGAACTGGTAACAGAAAGGAGCTAGGGGCTCCTCCCAGGCCCATGTGACCCCTGAGGAATAGATCCTCAAATGTCCTTAAGAATAAAAATAAATTGGTTTATCTGGGCCAACTGTAATGGCCTTAAACACTGAAAAGGAAAGTGTAACCAAAGATTAAAGGGGCTGATATAAATTTTTAAGAGTCTATATGTGTATTAGTCACTGTTCTGTTGCTGTGATAGAAACACTCACCACAGCAATTTATAGAAGGAAGAGTTTATTTGAGCTTACGGTTCCAGGGTAATTACAGTCTGTCATGGCAGGGAGGTATGGTGGCTGGATGTGGCTGGAGCAGGAGCAGCAGAAGTGAAGCTCTCACATCATCACCAGGCACAAGAAACAAGAGAACAACTGGAGATCCGGAAAGGCTTAAGAACTCTCTAAGCCCACCCCCAATGACGTGCTTCCTCCAGGATAACCACACCTTCTAAAACCTCCCAAAACAGTGCCACCATCTGGGGACAGAATGTCCAAATACTTGGAGCCTATGGGGGACATTTTCATTCAAACCACCACAATATGTATAGCTAAAGGCTACATAACAAGCAACAGTGCCAGATAGGAGATATTGAGTTGTTGGCCAGAGTGGCCAAAGGGACTCCCAGATAGTAACCCAGCATAGAACTGGGAAAATGAACAGCAGACTCCAATCTTATCTAAAGGAATATTTACAACCAATTGCTTCTAGATGAGGAACAGCTGACATTCCTAAAACAAAGCCCTCTAGATAGGCTGACTAGATTCACCAGATGGACAAGTAGTGGGGGATGGCTGGGGGTGCCAACAACACAGTGGACAGTAGCAGGGATGACAGAGTATAAGGGCTCTAGTAGGAGGAAGGAGGCTATGGGAGGGTGCCATCTGGGAAGTGGGTGTATAGTTGAATAAGATGGTTTGGGATGTTCTGTGTGACACATACACACACACAAATTAATAAAATGTATTATACTTGAGGAGGAAGCATAAAAATTTACGTCATCTTAATTAGTAGAGGTCATAAACATTACCATTGAAATCTGCCCAGTAACTTTATAGACATACACAGGTGCCAAGGATCCGAGTGCAACCGATTATGAAAAAAAAATAATCAGATACATACAGATTAGAGATGCATGTGCCAACATCTCAGTGTTAGTAGCAAAAACAATGAGTCTTTCTATAAGGAACAATATATTCTAAAATGAAATAGAGATTTTTTAAAGGTTAAAAACTCATTCAATTTTATATCTTACAGAACTCATACTGAGTTCAATATTGTATAACTGTATTAATTCAACAGCCAACCTAAAATTTTATAGCCACTTTTGAAAGAGTTGTATCTTTGCTCTGGAAACTGTTACTGAATATGTTAAAGCTGTAATTAAATGCTTCTTCTAATCATGTGGTTATTAAATTTTAAAATAGTTGAAAAAAAAATAAATGAAAAATTT